TTTTTTTTCAGCGCTGCATTTGTACAGTAAGTGGGGAGCCACAATTACTCAGGTTTTTGATGTCTTTGAATGACATGATGAAAATGTCACCAAATTGCCCTCCATCAGCAAACACGGGGCAGCTTGTGCATGGACATGTTTGTGCTAATTCAGAGGTCTAAGGGCAGCATATTTTCAAGCCTGGTGTTTCATCTTCTGATAGTGGTCAGATCCAGGGCTGGCTGGCAGTTTGCTGAAGGACCTTCCGTGAACTTCACCACCTCAGTGAGGTCCCCCCTTCTTTGCTTTGGCAGGTCAGTCACACCAGCCCAAAGTGCACAACTTTGAGAGACCCGCTGTCTCCAGTCTCCTGTGGAGAGAAAGACAGGCAGGATCAGGCAGGCTGAAGGGACAGGCAATGAGGGATGGAAACATGGGTATTGGAAACACTATCCCGACCCACAGAGAAGAGACAATTGCAAACACTGACCCTATTTGGCCTGGGAATGGAAGATGCAGCCCTGAAGCAGTGGGTCACTCACATGAGTCCCTGCGCTTCGCTAGTGCTCCAGCAGCCTGACACAGCCCTGACAGCCACCTCCTGGGCCCAAGTCCACCCCCCTTCCCATACAGAGGCACAAATCACAGATCAAAAAACCTGGGTCACATATCTATCTGATGCACTCAGGACCCTGAGCCTTGAACAACAGGGACCTACCCAAACATCTCTGAGCTCTAAATGGTCAAACATGGGGCTGTTCTGCTCCAGCTTGCCTTCACCTTCCCCCCCTATTTCCTCAGTCCCCAGAGCAAGCAGCAGCAGAAACCCCTCTGCGTCAGGCACTGACACAGCTCTAGGGAAAAAAAATGTCACTCCTTACCTTTAACCACAGATGCTCCTCAATTCTCTACTGCTGTGTCTCTCCTGAAAAAAAAAAAAAAAAAAACAGAAAACTTTTGTATTTTTTTTGAGCCTCCAACAAGTGCAGTTCAGAGAGCAAGGAGAGCCCACAGAAAGCTTGCAGCCACCCAAAAACCAAGACACACACACACAGTCCCACCATGAGGGCTGCCACTGAGTAAGGCAACTCAAAACCTTGAAGACACCTGCCTAAGCAGCAGTGTGGCGGGGAAGCCACGCTTCGAGTTTCAATGCTGGAATAACCTGGTGGGATCTGGAATGCAAGCACTGGTTCGAGTGGGACATTGGAGACACTTTCTCGTCACATTCAAACTGCCTCTGAGAATTAACAGAGCCACCTCCTGCCATCTCCCTGCAAGGGAAGTGCCAAGCAACAGGCTGGAAACAAAACTCAGTGTCTGCAGCGTGCTCATTTTGAGCCATCACACTTTTACTGCTCCCTCTGCGCTGAGGTAGGGAGGTTGTAC